TATCCCTCTCTAGCTACTACTAGACTGTACTAGCTAACTGTCATGTTATTTGACATCAATAACCCTTCTATGCCCTCCCCTTGTATGATTTTAAAGAATTAGGGATGCGTGACAGTTCACCTTATTTCTTTAAAAATATATTTCTATGTTAATATATTAAATTATAAAAATTAATTTTTTTTAAAAAGGATTAATTAAAAAAAACACGACTCGACAGTATATATTAACACACCCTTAAAATATTTAAAAACTATGTCTTAAGATCAAAAAATAGATTGATTTTTTACTATTTAAACGCGGATTATATATTGTGGTATTAGTGCTAATTTTCCTTAATCTTCTGATTTACGATTTTGGTAAAAAATACGTTGAATTGTCATGTAATGGAATGGAAGTGAGAAAGCGCAAGATTCATTGTCTTGTCCATATATATATATATATACATCGCTCCGCGGGAATATCTCTGGTTAATTCGGAATTATACCCTTGCTCCATTCGTATTATCCAACGCATGCTTTCTTCTAGCATTCAGAATAATAACCACTGCATTTCGGTTTTGAGGATAATTGTGTGTTTGGTATTTTAGTTAAGTTTATTTTTAAAATTATTTTTATTTAAAAAATATAATTTTAATATTTTTAAATAGTTTTTAATTTCCTTAGCTAACAGAAGAATTTTTAAATTTTTTATTTTTTATTTCAAAATAATTTACTTTATAATCTTCTGTCGTTTTATTTTTTATATCAAAAAAGGATTTTAAAATATATCAAAAATATTATTTTAAAATAAGTTACTTTTAAAAATAGTACCTGACACAGACACACAGACACTACCTAACAACTGATAGGGGTGATTCGAGGGGAGGGACTTGTATTTTCTAGAATGCAAACGAGGGATAATCATGGGATGACAGTTGTCCAGGTGGCAAAGAAAGAGATGTTTCTGGGCGAGCATTAGATGGCTCTCTTTCTAGATAGGCATTAGCCAACCAACAAGAAACTACCAAAACCAAGCATAAAGCTCAAAATTCCAAGATAAGGTCAATTTGCAAGTAACAGAAAAATTTCCTGTGCACTTTCAGCGCGTGAATGTAAACGATCAACGGCGTAGAAGTAACGAGGAAGCAGAGCAAGGGATGTTTGTTTTGCTTCTAGAGAAGGAAGACCGGCGGCCCAAGCAAATACCGCGAAACGTTTCCGACCTTCAAGGCATATACTATAAAGAAATGGCCGACGACGAGTAAGACCTTAATCTGCAAGGAAGAGATAGTGTGGATTCATTAGTACGGTGCATTGTTATCGTACGTTAGATCTCATTTCTATATAGGAATAATGCATGGGAAACGCCAAAAAATCATTGAAACATTATTAAATATAATGGTAGCTATATATGTGGGCAAATTTACTTAGTTTTCGTGGAGAAGTACATAAAAACCATAGTTATGTAATAAATTGTACCTCACTCTTCATTACATGTGTCAAATTTAAAGAATAAAAGAAAGGGTAAAAGGGTTCTTCAACCTCCCTGGAGCAAACCAAAGTTTTTTTTTTTTATTACGTGTCGTGTTTTATTTTATTATTCCATATTAAGAAGAGATGGTTTCTAATTTCAGTTTCAATGCCATGCTGAATTCTGTTTGTAAGAGAAGAAAAGTACCATTTGATAACGAACATCAATACGATTGGACACCGGCAGTATTAGACACGTGCAGTAAAGCTTAATGAATTGCTATTACTATTCCTCGCGTAAATTGAATGGTATTGTTTTTTTTTATATATATAAAAAAAACTTGTACCACTCCGAAGAAGGAAAGGAATCGGAAAGGAGCAAGTCACTTTAATAGAATAATCTTCGAAGACATCCCAAGATTTACTTGTGGGACGCGAAACTGAAATATACAAGGCAATAAAAATACAGTCTTTGCAAGCTTATCCACCTTGTTAATGCCTCATTGCTGACTCAATAATGCGTGCTCCACACGGCCAAAAGACCCCGAGTTCACCTAGGATTCAAATTACCTCTACTACTATTTCATGTGTGTTAAAAAGGCCAGCGTACCCTTGTTTTGACTTGGACATTGGAATTAGTCGTATCCTCACAGCCTCTCTTGTTAGTAGTAGCTCAGTCTCCACAAATCCCAACCCCCCCCTCTATTGCTTAGTTGACCGACCTCACTGCCCACCAACTCTCCCACTCCATCACCACAACTTCCTATATATATAAACAAAACCTTTCCTTACTCTACACTCAGTGATCGGCCCTCTCTCCCTCTCTCTCTAAGCCTTTCTTCCTCTCCTTAGAAATCTTTTTCGTTTGTAGCTCTCGTTGCCCACTCACACAAGAAAAACTCAGTATCAAGAATCCAAGTCATGGCTCTTGAAGCTCTGAATTCTCCTACAACAGCCGCTCCTTTCAATTATGAAGAAACATGGATTAAGAGGAAACGCTCTAAGAGACCTCGTAGTGAGTCCCCTTCAACCGAGGAAGAATACCTCGCTCTTTGCCTTATCATGCTTGCTCGTGGCGGCTCCACTGCCCCACCCGTCCAAAAACTGCCAAAAAAACCGCTTCCGCCTCCCCTGCACCACCCCAACCACCAACTTCGGATCTTTCTTACAAGTGTTCGGTTTGCAACAAGGCTTTCTCTTCTTACCAGGCTCTTGGCGGGCACAAAGCCAGTCACAGGAAGTCCTCCTCCGAGTCCACCGTCGCCTCAGCCACCGAAAACCCATCAACCTCCACCACAACCACCACGACTACCAGTGGTAGGACTCATGAGTGCTCTATCTGCCACAAGACTTTCCTTACTGGACAGGCCTTAGGCGGACACAAACGCTGTCACTATGAGGGCACAATTGGAGGCAACAACAGCAGTAGTGCTAGCGCTGCAATCACCACCTCAGACGGTGGTGCTGTTGGAGGCGGTGGCGTGAGCCAGAGTAAAAGTCAAAGAAGCGGTGGTGGGTTTGACTTTGACCTGAACTTGCCTGCTTTGCCTGAATTTGAAGGTCCAAGAATCAGTAAACCAGAACCCTGCGGAGATCAAGAAGTGGAAAGTCCTTTGCCAGGGAAAAAGCCAAGATTAATGTTTTCGCTTAAGCAAGAAAGGACCGATATGGGTTCTTCGCAAATTTGAATTTAGAATTTAAGATTAGGTTTAATTAGGAGGATTCTTGGATTTTTCTGCTCTTTTCATCACTCTCTATGGTGTTATCTTTTGGGGTTTGCTTTGATAATGAATTGGTTCTGTATAGGGATTTGTATTCATTGTTTTAGACTTCCTCTGCTATTCTTCCATTGGACATTAATTCATTCTTTTACTATTATTTTTTTAAAAGAATTGCGTGAGATTCATATTCAATTATTTATTATACTCGTGGATATGAATGGATTTCTTCTTAATTACATGTTTTAATTGTACTCCATATTTCATTTTTCGGATGGTTGAACTCTCTCCCCACGCCTTAAATGCCTAATATTGTGGGTATAGAATAGGACGGATTACAGTTCAATTTCTCCTTCTAAATTTATATTTTTCAAAAATAGTGCCCAAGGAAAAGCTCAACAAACACGATGAAACCTTTCTCTGTATATTGCGGTAGAAAAATGTTCTAAAGTTTATTTTTCACATAAATACTTTAGCATAATAAAAAAAATATCAAAAAAATTAATTTTCTTAAGAAACATGGCTTCACTGCATACGCGCTCGCAATCTCAATGCACCGCCAGAAACTCGATTTTTTTGGGTTAAACAGTGAAGGTCGGACTCACGGATCACGGCGGCCTGTGAATGTTGAAGTCAAGTTCATGTATTGCATTATACGCGTGGTAAATACCCGTTCAAGCCGAGGGAGTCTTTAAATATTCATAACCCTTTTTGTGCGAGTCATTGCCGTGTGAACAGCGCAGATGCAGCGGGCAGGTAGGCAGGCAGGCGGGGCACTCGGTAGTGGTCTTGATAGTCTTTCTAAACAAAGAACCATGCCATGTTAAGAGTAATGAGATGGTGGTCTTAACCAATAACCTCCCATGTGATCATGCCTTCAATCCACATGTTGGCATCATGATGTAACGTCTTTTGCGTGGCTCGGGACACTTGTAGTTGTAGCTGTAAGCGGTAGTTGCACAACACCCACTGCAGTACACGGTCTTGTCCTAATTCTGGAGGCCTTTTCCGGTCGGCGGAGCTTTCACATCTGTCTGTTGATTTCATTTACATTTTACTATTGAATTGATGTGAAATCCTCGGTATTGCAGGATGCCTCATGGATATTGCATGGGTTTTCAAACATCCCTCTCATTGTGGATTTTTTTTTAATCGCAACTGCTAGATAATTTATACTTATTTTAATTAATTTTTTCAAATTCTATAATTAATAATTAAGTAATTAATTTCTTAAAATTCTATAATTAATAATTAAATAAGATTCTGATTATTCTAAATTTTATAATGAATTAATAATTTTTAAAACATAAATTTAAAATTTAATCAATTGAGCTATAGTCCTTATAATTTTTTCTTTAAAAATACTATAGTTTATTAAAAGTTCAGAAATAATAATATAAATTAAGAAATATCTGAAAAACTGAACCGTTTAAACAAAATTATATCTTAAAAATATATTAATTTATTTTTAATTTTTGTTTCATATTCTTTCAATTCTTTCCCTATATTTATCTTCCTTACTTCTTTGCTTTCATCAATTCATGAGTGTTAATAATACGATCTATCTATTGTCAGCTAATGGAAATCTAGGCTGTTAAGGAGACAATCTATAATGAATAATTCTTTCTTTTTTTTAGTTTAGTGGTTAATATATTTTAGGGTCTGTATCAAATAAAATATTTTCGAAATAAGTTTTATATTGGTTTGGTTTCAGCACGATAACGTGGACAAAATAGCAAGCAATCACGAGGTACAATTGACGACTCATGGCAGCATATATGAAGTGCCTGGGCAGTGGGGATATAGATGCTTGGGGACGTCAACATTCGATGCGTGCCGTGCTGTCAGTATTGCCTATACACTTCTCTATCTAGATAGGATCGATAATCCTTTAATCCTTCAGTAGATAGATAAGAATATATTATTAAAAATAATATAAATTATATTTTAAATTTTTAATTAATAATTTTAAATTTTTAATTAAGTTGAATAATTAATCGGTTAAGAAATTAAATTTTATTATCTTTATTTATTTAAAAAAATTAAATATAAGGTAGTATAAATTTGTATAAATTTCAAGCTTAAAATCTAAACATAATATAATATATATTTGAAAATTTCATCTGATAATTTGAAACTTTACATTAAATTAATTCGATATAAAATGAACTCTTTTAGGAGGACTCCTCGCCCTCGGTTAGGAGTGAAACATTAACAAGATTCCATGGTTTGGACATCTACTCAAGGTCTGGATACAAGTTAAGTAGGAAGGGTAAGTTTTTCAGGTGACACGTACACTATCAGTGTATACATCAACAAGGGTATAATATTAGGTTAGCAGGAGAGCTTCAAAGCCTCCAAGTCATTGAAAAACATGAGAAGGGTGTTTAGGTTAGGTTATATATATCTTAATTAATCTTTTAAAATTTTAAAATTAATCATATAAATATACAATAACTTTGAAAAATTTTAAAAGGTATAGAATTCAAATAGATAATTTTTTAGAAGTAAATTTAATGTTTAACTAGTTGAGTTATATTTTTTAGAATTGAGAACAAACTATATTGTTGTGCCTAGTCATGGATATTCAAGTTGTAAACATTGTAAGTTGAATTGGTTAATTATTTTGAGGATTGACTGCAAGTTTTTGGTTTTGTAGATGAATTGACCTTCTTGAGATGCAAATTTGCCAAGCAGTAAAAGCCTTCAATCCTAATTAGAGTAAGATCGAAAACGAATGATGGGCATTCAAGTGAAGGCATGAGAAGCGCAAAAGATGAATGCTTCAAAAATCTTAATTGGAGAGACAACTCAAAATCTGTCATTTTATAAAAGTAAATTGAGTGGCCTAACAAATATACTGCGAAATCCTAATTTAAAGTTCTTCTTAGTGGACTTAAAAAAAAATTAAGAAAAATAAAATTAGCATTGCAGTTACATTATATTAAAAAAAAACATTAAAACAGAAAATGCATATTTTCACAAAACCGTCGTGGATGCCAATGTTTATCCTAACGATGATTTTTTTATTTCTCATTTCAATTCTCAAGTTTTATTTCTTTGCCATTCCATCAATACACTTAATTTTTGCATCCATTTATGCATCTCAATTTACTTTTATTTACATCCTCTCCAATATTTGAGGTCTTTGCAAATATTTCATTAATGAATTAAACATTAATTTTACAAAATAGATTTTTTTGTTGGAAACCAAATTAAAAAAGCAAGGGTTTATTTTTTTTATAAAAAAAAACCATTTCAATTTTTGTTTTTTAAAACATGCGAAAAACTTTAGTTTGGTCTCTAAAGTCTTAATTTATCTGTATTATTTGGTCCATGTTGTTTTTAGACTTTATGTTTAGATCCTAAAGTTTATTTTATTTGTGGGCGTTATTGAGGTGTTTTTAGATGAAAATAAATTGAAAGTTAACTTTTTAGATCTCAAACTCTAACCCTTATTTTTCAATTACCTATTTTTCCATCATGAAAATGATCAAAAATAAATTGGTGAATGACATATTATTTGTTTAAGAAAATAATGCATCATTTATGTTATTTTAAAAAAATAACTAGGTGTATCAACCTGGCTTCTAGATCTAGATAACCTAAAATTTTTGGTTTAGAGTTAGGCAAATGAACTTATTTTTCTAGGCCAGCAACACCTGATTTATGAGTATTTTGGCCCATCATCTTTTACTCTCTCTTTTTTTTAATTCATTTATTCTTTACATCTTCTTTCTATTTAACTTCCATATTTTGCATTTTGTTTTTCTATCATATACATAGGTAATTTGTAATTTGATACCATATACATGAATCATATGAATACATTATATTTATCAGCTAAACATATAAAAAAAATCAAGCATCACAACAAAAAGTCATTAAATGGTGTGACATTTCATGTATAATAATTAATTTTTAAGTTAATTTCATATATTATTGAATTTTGTTTGTGTCATAAACATTAATATGTTCTTGATAAAGTCGTAGAAAAACTTTACAAAAAGATATTGGCTTACAATGGTTGTTAAGTTATGAGCTTGAAATGTACTTATAGAACAAGTCCCTTATGGTGAGAGACACATCTGACGTGTAAGTTGGTATTTGAGTTTTTTTTTAAGTGAGAAGCAAATAAAAATTTAAAAAGATGAAAAAGATGTTTTTTATGTGTAAAGAAGATATGTGCATTCTTTATCTCATGTTATCTATATGATAGAGAAGTGCAGGGGTAAGTGTTCAAACCTTCCTTTCTCTCTCAAAACTTGAGAATATATAGGTTAGAGAATATCTGACAAATATCTAAAAAAATATTTGGTGAAATATATGAGAAAATATATTATTCATAAATATATGAAAAATACAAAGGTGAGTGTTCAAACCCCTTTTTCTCTCAAAACTTGAGAATATATTGCTTGGAGAATATCTAACAATTATCTAGAAAAATATTTGGTGAAATATATGAGAAAAAATATTATTCATAAATAATGGATAATAGTGATGAATAATACCATGCAAAAATTATATCATGTAAATAATACCATTCATAAATAGTAACACACAAGATAAGTTAAAGTAGTTTGGTGAGATCGACCATAGAAAGAGAGAAAAAGATGAGAAAGTAGAGCTCAGTCTAATAGAGTTTAGAACTCGGGACTTGTTATGAACAAGCTACCCATAAAAAATAGTATTAATGAATTGTAAACGAGAGTACTATACCAAACTAAGGGATGAGAGGAAAATGAGAGAGTGGAGCTCAGTTTGAGTGAGTCTAGAAAATTGAGACTCATTCTGAATTAGCTATTCTGAATTAGCTTTGGATGGTAAATACTATTTATAAATAGTAAATGAGATTATAACAAGTTAAGGGATAAATGCGAAGGGGAGGTGAGAGAAAAAAGATTAATAGAGCCATGACCTAACCAAGTTTTTTCTGATCTTTTTTTTTTTTATTATATTATAACTTGCACCTCAAAGTCTTATAAATATAAATATTTGGAAGACTTTATCTAACTAAAGAGGGGAGGAAAATACTTACAGTGTAAAAATTTACCTTTATCGCTATACTTGCACAAAAGTGTCACATGTATAGGCATGCTTTTGAATT